CAGAGAGACTTATCGCTACAACGCTTGAAAAAAATAACGTTTGCAAATGAATTGAATATCAAAATCCAATGGAAAGTGAACCCCAGCAACCGCAGATTCTCATGTGTCCACTCTGAAAAATCGAACTGAACTGAGATGGAGGGAAAGTTTTACCTTGCCGTCCTTTCCGGGTCTGCCCTTCTCTCCTACAGCTGTTATCCCACAGATGCGCCTCGTATCTCCCCGTCCACCTGTGTCTGCATCGACCATTCACGCGTGAAGACAAAAACCAAGTTCGATATCAGAAACCGAAATGTATCTTCTTCCAAATAACAGAAATAAGCATTCGCTTCATCTTTTGATCTAGATTCAGGCTTTTACCTTGTGACCCCTCTGTAAATCGACGTTCTCTGCCCAAACGTATCCGTAACCTTCTTTGACGATTCCAACTGGACCGGTACCACGGCTTTCTCCGAGCTCTGAGCGACCGCCAGTGACAAGGACTGAGGCGGTGCATGGGAGAATACCATCTCGCTACCTGACTCAAGTGAGTGACCCGCTAAATCTCTGAGTTGGGTTTCGTCAACCGACACGGAATCGTCGACCTCCGAACCAGAATTAGCAGAAAAGGCCGGCTGAAACCCAGCCGTTGCAGTCATGCTTGTGAGATGATGGTGTTGATCAGCGAAGAGACTGGAACATCCTTGTTCGTAGACGTTAGTCAGCGACGACTCTTGAGTTTCTGTTTGGCTGTCGGAGTATCGAGCCAAGGACGAAGAATGGCCACCGAGAAAGTCTTCGAGCTTCGGTACTGTATGTTGGATTTGAGGGTTTAAGCTCGCGAGCATGGACGTATCAGCAGCATTATGTGCTTTCACATCCTTCACTTCCTTGGCTTCTTCTTCTTCTGTGTATGGCATCTGGGTCTTGAGACTTGCCCAGTCTGCAAACAATAGTGGAAAACTCAAAACTGAAATATCAGCGACAGCGGCTTAACGAGAGAAGTAATTATCTCTAGGCACTGTTACTATCAATGGTTTCTTTCTTGCTCCATCAAAGAATAAGAAACTTGGTTTTAATGCAGTGTCCACTCGCAGAAAAGCGAGAACCGCGTGAGCTCAAAGGCGTTTTTGCAAGGTGGAATGATATATAAGCGAGTTGTCATTATTATTTTCTAGGGTTTTGGGTTTGTACCGTTTCCATAGAAGCTGTCGAAGAAGAAGTGCTGGTGGAAGGAGTCGGACATCGAAGATTGGCATGAAGGCAGCATCTCCAACGGAGAGACGGAGGAAGAAAGCCAGTTACCCGCCGGCGCCATGTCTCGTCAGTACCACAAGCTTTCTCTTCTCCTCAGCAGCTTTTCCTTTTTAAAACCTAAAAATAAAAACTCTCAAAATGAGAGAAGCTTTAAAAGCAGTAACGGGAAAAACGAAACGAGCTACGATTTTATCCCAGAAAAACAAGCGGAGCGCGTTGGGAACTTACGGTTGCAGGCTGTATAAAAAATGGAAATACCTGGTTAACCTTTTCCAGCACTCGCCATTTTCGGGGTTCTCGAAAACCTCACAAAAGTTCAGCTATCTTCGGAGCTCCCCCTAGTTGTAGTAGTAGTGGTAGTTAAAACGTCCGAGAAACACCAAAGACACATACAAACCGCCCAGCAATCACCAGGTACACCAGAGAAAGAACTTTACGAGAGGAATTCAATCACCTCCAGCTGAAAATATAAATTCCCGAGCTGGTTTTCGAGTAAGAACTAAAAAAGGGTTGCGAGCAGGACAAAGAGTGTTCCTCTCAAGAACACATGAAGAGATCAAGAGAAGGAGGTGAAGCAGAAGTAGACGAGTCGTCTGTCATGAGTTTTTCTCCTTTGAATCCATGGACTCATCTAGAGTAAACGGGGAAGGACTGTCGGAGGTCGTAGTTCAGAAAGAAAAGACAGAGAGAGAGAGAGAGAGAGAGCTGAATCATCACCAGGTGTAGGTTTTTAACGGGAGGGTTTAGCGGTGGTTTCTCGATCTCTTGCGGCCCAACAAATGTGAAGTGTTTACATTACAACGTTGCGGGAGATCAGGCGGCGAACTTCCCTTCTCCTGTATGACTCGACTCGGATCGTTTTTATACCGAATCAAACACGTGATCCAAATTACCAAATTGCCCTTTATTATTCCCACCACATACATATCAAAGAGAGTGAGAGTTAAGTAGCAACACGATCTGTCAGGCTCGGACGGTATATCTGCGTTATCTCCTTTGACCCGAAGGATAAAAAGGTGGAATGCAACGTCAGGAGATCGTAGGGGTAATATTGTCATTTTGAAAGGCATGCTTTTGAGTTGTGCAGCGAACCCACCGGTACGGTAAAAGGTGGAGATGGGGCCGTGGCGAGAGGGAGAGAACCGGGCTTTGTCCGGAAATTAAGAGGGAGCGTCGTCAGATTGGATTTTAGTGCCGGGTTCAGACTCGGGAGTCAGACCGAAGAAACTGGGAAACCAGGTGCCCGGTTTTCCCGCCAACTCGATCGAAATTACGGGGCTACCCTTGCCATGGGGAAAAGGACAGAATAAGGCCACAGTCAACCCAAGCGTGGGGTCGGGTAAGTCAGGTGTTCCCCTCAGGAGTTGGGCGTCATAATTTAATGATTGGGAAGGGTTAGATTGGTCATTTCGGGGTAAAGAGCATAGGGATACAACTGACATTGACAGCAAAGATCACGCAGTATCGGTCCTTTCCGGAAACAGAAAATGCACGAGACGAGCGCACCCTGTTCTGTTCCATTTCCGTGTGGAACAGAACATTACAGAAACAGGGGGTGTTGGATTGGGGTGGAGCCCACTCAGCAGGGGGCCCAGGCGCAGAAACTATTAAAATAATAAACAAACAAAGAGTCAAAGACGATGGGGCGAAGGAAGATATGACTACGGGCACAGTTCTTTTGTTTGGTTACGGCCACCAGCTACTTGGGTGATGGGTCGTCCCCTTTCTTTAATGGGGCCCAGCTGTAGAGACGTGTACAGCTGCAGATGCAAACACGTGTCGGAAGAGGACACCTGACACGGATTAAAGGACATGTTTGGTTGCTGGTGAGGGTCCTCCGATTGCTGATAAGAAAGGCCCATCCGCCCATGCCCATGCTTTATTGTCTTCTTGTAGGTGTAGTAGTATCTAGTATCTCACTTTCTGTTCCAACAGTTCAGCCCAGCGGATGCATGCACGTCAGTTGGCGGACCTGGGCTCTGGGGCCCAGAATAAGCCCATCGGATGGCCGTCGATGGTTTTCTTGTGTGGATCTATCAATATTGATTCCCCTGAACAGAACGTACGTGGGGAGAGAGAGAGAGAGAGAAAAGGTGATTAGCATAAATGGTGAGAAGGAAAACGGGAGATGTGAGAGGGGTGGACGTGGTGGAAGAAGAGGAGATGTGGAAGACAAAGGAAGCATAAGAAAGACATATATAATTGTTTTGTCTGTAAGGACTAAGGAGGGGATATATTATTTATACTATTATGGGCCAGGTAAGCTGGGCCCACGTGCTATCATTGTACGCATTGTATACTGGATGAGATGGGCCTGGAGAGAGATGGGGAGGCACTATCATTATTCCAATCTATTTTAATTCTTTATTTTATTTTCCGTCTGTAGAGATAAGAGAATTTGGAGATATAAAGATGCTTGCAAAAAGGAGGGAGACTGAGAATTGCTTTTACACTTGGCACAATAATAATAAGAGACGGGTTTTTCTGAAAGCAAACACCGTGCAAAACACCCCCGAGAGCAGCATCCATTACCATAGGGCGTTTGCTCCATTTTTGCTTTGCTTTCAGGGGATCTGGGCTGCAATAGTACTCGTTCTTATTGTCGTTTGTCAATGCCACCGCTTCTGATCAAGTGCTCGTTTGGGAGGGCTTTCACCCCAACGGCTTTGGCTTTACAAGGTGGTGGGCCCACATGAAAAGCTTAAAATCTATTTTTTGGTGAGAAACCCGAAATGCCCAACTATGCTTCCCTTCACCCAATAAACTGGCTCTCTCATGGAGCTAGCTAACTTTAGAGCCCATTTGTGAGAGATTTCTATGGTGAAAGAATTGCGTTGACTAAGATGAAAACCAACCAAGCCTTTTACAAGATATTCAAGCTTGCCTCAGTCTAAACCGAGCTTTGAATTGAATTCAAGTCGAATATATAAGTTTGTTTTCTAGTCGAGATTATATATATAAATTCTATGGTGAAAATGAGCTGCATTGATTAGGATGAAAATGAACCAAGCCTTTTTAAGCTTGATTCAGTCTAAAGTTGAATTCAAGTCTAATATATAATTTTGTTTTCTAGTCGAGCCAATTTCAAGCTTAATATAGTTCAACTTGTAAGGCTCACAAGCTTAATCCAGATTATATAATAAAAATATTATATATATATATATATAAATAAAAACAAAAATATTATATATAATACTTTTTTAGTTTTTATATGTAAAATAAAAATATATATATTTTTTTATATTTATAAGAAGCTTGTTTCAAAGTTAAGTTCAAACTTACGAACTTTTAAGTCGATCTCAACTCTCTAGCTTAAACTTAGCTTGAGTCTTGTGACTTTTCAGTGAGTCAAGCTCGAATAGCCAATTATTTAGCTCGGCTCGACTCAAATCCACACAGTGTTGACAAAGCCGCTTCTCATAAACTAGTCGATTTTTTTTGGACTCTAACAGGACTTCATGACTTCTAGGTTATTGACTCGTACAACAGCAGAAGCCGCTGCATTCAAACGGACACATAGTAACAGCTCAATCAAAACCGAAGCCCTTCCAAACACACCCTAAAACTCTTTTTCTTTTGAAAAGCCATTGGACTGTAAGGCACGTGCGCATGCAGCTTCCATCCTGAGCTCTACATAATACAAACTCTCCCTTTGGCACGTGCATGTCCCCTTCCACCAGTGTTATTATTATAAAACCCTCAGACAAATATGCAAATTCCACTATTCAGGTGAGGTACTTGTTATTTAAAATTTTATCATTTCCGTAATTAAAAATTTAGAGCATAGATTATGATCTCGTAGAAAGGGTTTTATTTATTAGACAGTGTCCAAAAAGAGAAACCAGACATTCGGGGTCCACACCATCCAGAATAACAACCATTGTTCATTGTTCTCCCTCTCTAGTCTCTTCTCCCTTTTCCACCTCCCCCTCCTTTTGGATCAGGGTATTTTTCTTTCCCTCTTTTCCTTTTCTTTTCTTTAGTATTTTTTAATTCCAAGGACGTAAGATGGAAGCATTTAAGCTGCTAAAGTCAGTCTAAAGCTCTAAACACTCAAACTGTCTGGGATGGATCAATTCTCTGGGTCTGTGTCTGGGTCTTTGTTAGCTTAAAGCTTGAAAGCAACTAATTCAACAAATTTTCAAATTCAAGTAACAGTGTTAAATTATTGGCTTAGCGAAGGCATACATAGGCTAGGCCAGTATGAACTGAATGAACAATCCTCACCTTATCACTATGGCGTCGTCTCCTGGAAATGGAACCCATTTCTGCACAAAGTGAAAAAAAAAGGGTACCAGAGGAACAGGAGACAACTTGGGTATGAACAGAATCAGAGAGAATATAGATTTATATAAATATGTGTCAATGATTGTGGTATCCAATCAGAACGGCAATACGTTGTTGAACGGTCAAAAACAATTATGACTAGCCTAGTTGTGGGAGCTTTGGGCTCTATCTCCATGGAGCCTCGGTCTTCATCTGAGAGACTAAGACCATGATGAGAATGGTATTTCGAAGATAAAGATTATTTACTTCCGCGTAATAAACTCTGCAAAACAATCAAATTAAAAGTAAACTAATCTTGCCCACTGTCCATCTATTAATATTAATACACTAAACCATCATTTCCTTGGACTCCTTTGTATTTCTCTTTTCCTCTTCTCCCTCTTTCATTGACCCAATTCAATGAAATTGGGACCCACATTGAAGGGTTTGGAATTGGGATCCACAAAAAGTCTCAGGCCAAAGAGATCAAATGGTCCATCAATATCCTCTTTGTACGGTTGAATATGAAAGATAAAGTTGATCCAACTTAATTGGGTAGCCAATGGAGTATCTAGCCTTTTGACAAATAGCTTTTGGTAGTTGGTACTAAGTAGTACCCACATGTACTTTCTAAAGTAGTAGTATACGCCCACGTAGGTAGAACTAGACAAGAAATGAAGCGTTTGATCATTGAAAGGAAAGACTAAAAGAAGAGAGGAAGAAATACGAGTGACAGTATTTCATACTAGGTACATGAGCATCTCATTCCAAGGAAGACAGAAAAAGGAAGAAGAGAAGAAAGGTACAGTGTCAACTGACAAAAGTATTTCATATTTCATACTTAATACAATAAACTAACACTACCTCTCGCAGTCAATAGCTATTCCGCAATCAAAACATAGGATTCCTTGGTGAGTTACAGCATGGTAACTGTAATTTACATGTACAATTCTCTGCAGGTAAAAGCAAAAGGACAGGGAAAAACCTGTAGTCTTAAAGAAAAAGGGCAAGAAAAAGAAAAAGGAAAGAGATGACCATCCATACAAAAATTGAAGACTAATGTACCTCATCGCCATCAAACCACTAAGACTAGGAAGAACATGGATCAGCAATAGCCTAAACTTGTTATCAACTATTGCATTCCCCACAAGATCTAATTGTCTCAAGTACAGGTATTTAAAAATCATTGCAGCTCCCTAAAAGTTTGTCGGTTTGACGCCATCAGTAACGAATGCATCGACATTCCAATCAGCACCTACTGTATGAGATAAAGAAGAGCACAAATACCTAGAGGTGCCAATAGAGTGTGCACCAGTCTCATTGTAGGAGATATCCAAAACTTTTTTAAAGATTTGAGCAGTTTTAAAGACTCCAGTGCACAACAACTGCGGATTCTGTTGTTGCTTAGATTCAAGCAAGTCAGGAGTTGCATTGCCTCCAAACCTGTTACCAAATCCCATTAATTAGTCTCAAGATTTGTTTCATTTATATTGACAACTGCAAATTATTATCAAGTGCTAGAACACAAAAATTCCACATTTCACGTTCTAATCACAGAAAAGATGGATATAATGATCCTGTCAGGACATGAAGACTAAAACCTTATAGAGGAGTTTCCTGGCAAGTAAGAAAATTTAACAAGGTTTCTACTTTCTAGTACTGAGAATTCACCAACTAGCACAAATATGGAATCAAATCCCCCTTTGCCAACAAACAAAATCAACATTGGGAAGCCTATATAGAACATGATTCTTCTCCCTTACAAAGAAGAGAGGTAAAAAAATTAAGGAAATGCATGAGGGATCTGTATTGTAGTGTTGTTTGGGAAGAAAGAAATGACAGAACTTTTTCAGGAGAGATTCAAGAGCAGAGAAGACATGATAGAGAGCTTCACAACAAAAGTGGCAGATTTTTGGCTTCCTCCACCATTGATCACATTACCAGGAATTGGCAAAAAAATAGTCCTAGTTAACAAGAAACAAGCTGTGAAGTCCTTGGAATTCCCTTCCCAACACTACAAAGAAGAACTTTGACTGTTGCAGCATAGAGAATCTAAGATCATGTGGAGTTGGAAGTATTAAGAAATTGTGAAGGAACATCCTCACAGTATATTCCAAGCTTATTGGATGGCAAGAATCAACCAAGGCAGAGCTGTGGGCAGAATTGCACAGGTTAAAGATTGCAAAGTCCCTAAGCTAAAAGATGTTTTCATTTAAGGGGATTTACTTGTAATCATAAGCTGGTTGGAAAGAGATTGGGTTGGTTCAAGGTAAAGGGAGGTGCAGTAGCAGGGCCAAGGTTTATTTCGTCTCTCTAAAAGCTGTTTCTACTCTCTCTCTCTCTCTGTGTATATATATATATATATTGTTTTCGGGGGACACAGTCACAGCTGTTTACTCTCAGTATATATCTTTTTTTTTGTTTTTTAGTTTTTTGTGTTCTTTTTCATGCATTTTCTCCTCCCGTTTGATATTTAATGAATCTTGGGCTGACCAGGATGAGAATGCAGGTTCAAGTGTGAGAGTGGCTACTTTATGCCAAGAGACAAAAGAAAAAGTTAGGTCCATACCCAGTCCAGCCCTTCCAAGACCCCAGATTCCCCAGATAATTTCCAATTTGTATAATGCCAGTTAGAAAAAGTACTGAAAATATGCCTAAACCATGTAATCTAAGTCAATTTTGAAAGAAATCATATTTTTCTTTTCCTTTCATTGGCACAAAATAAAATGTTATTAATGGGAGAAAGGAGAAAGAAGAAATACAATCTAAAGACTTCCGTGAAGTAAATAATGTTACAGTATTAGTACATAACTTTACTTTCAACTGATCATAGTTCATTGTGGGTTCAAATCTGAGAGTGGCCATTTTGTGCAAACAAAATGCCAAGGTTAGGACTATATTCAGTCCACCCCTCCCAAGACCCCAGATTTTCGGGACCAACATTGGGTAATGGCAGTTAAAAATTGACCATAGTTCATTGTGGCTGAGATCTAGCATCTGGACCCATAGTAAATTCTCAATACATCCAATTCATGATAGTAATCAAAGGCAGATAGAATTGCAAAGGACAAGAGGTTGGCTCGGTGTATTTCCGGCAGTGCATCAGCAGAGACTCTATGTTAGAAATCACTTGCAGAAATAAACAAATATGATTTTCCAATTACATCTTAAATGGTATAAAAGTGACCCATGTTTTATTGGCAGGTCAGAATTACATTTACTAAAAGAAAACATGGAGTTGTAAAATTTGCAGTTAAGGATGTAGTCATCATGACTTCAAAGAGTCAACTCCAGAGCCCTTCAGAATGTAACAACACATGCTTGTTTGCTGGCCTACTTTTTTACTTCATTATCAAATTTAAGGGCTATAATTCATAGAAGAGAAATGTACTAGTCAAGTGTTGATTGATAGGCAGCAAAAATATACACATCACTAATTCAGAAAACCTGCTGTCAGACAGATGATTTGGATAGCCAACTTCCATCTTGGATCCAAAGATATGACACACAGATACCTGTAAATGGCCTAGCATACATATATTGGACAGAATACATGATACAACACTGGATACTGCAGAGTACAATTAGGGGCGTTTGATAGCCATTTCGAAGTAGCTGAATTGAATAACTTATTTCTTTGGCTTTTAGTTAATAAGTCATTAAGTAGACTGTGAGCTGCTCGATGGATGGATGACATGTTGGGTTGATTACTAGACCCCATTATATTTTATTGTACAACTATTTTATCCGCTAAAAGACAAAAGCACTAGGTCATTCATTTCAGCTATTTCAGCTGTTACCAAACAGCCTCAGCTTCAAAAACTAGGTATAAAGCCATGATATAAGTATTTTAAATGTGATACATGCACCTGTCTGTAGGGATAAGGCATGGATGATGATGATACATGTACCTGTCTCCATTTCGGGATCTTGGGAAATGGAGAGTCATATCCCCATTCCAGTATTCATGTCCAGTCTGGCTCTGGCATGCATATCTGGGCATCATAGATTCAAAGCTCATGGTGACAAAACACAAATACCTTTCCTATGGCATACCATGCTATACAGCATATAGACTATTGACCATTTCAAGAAAAAGGGTAAGGGTGAAACTTAGATCAAGTCGATTTCAGCATTTTTCTTTTCAATTTTTGAATGGGCCTGAGCCTCAACTTGAGGCCAAAGTAGTTGAAATTCTTCAAATCGCACAACCCAATTTGCATCCCTAAATAGGAGATTTACATAGCTAGTAAACACAATGTATCCCAAAGGGATCCTTTCAAAGTTGATCATTTTTTTCTGACTGTTTTAAGCCAAAAGTCTTGTGGAGTCTCATTTTCTTTTCTGTTTGTTGGGGGATGTAGAATGAAAGAAACATGCAAGCACATTTATGTAATATTTTTGAGTTTTTTGAGATATTGAACATAATACTATATTCGACTTCTGTTGCAAAAAAAATGAAGTAAAGAAAATCCACTTTCGCAGTAGATTCGTTAGCTTCATTTCCATTTAAAGATTAGTGAGATAAGATGAAAAAGAGTCATGTGCTTCCAAATACATAGAAGTCCAGGAGGATATTAAAGAAAAATGACATGTGCACGTAAAATCATGAATCAAACAGCAAAAATGCACATAGACACAGAAAGAAGGGGTAGGGTGGGTGGGAGAGAGAGAGAGAGAGAGACCAGTTCCAATAAGACTAAATTGTATTTGTCCTTGTAATATCTGGAATGAGATGGGTCCAACTTCAAGTTGCTAAATAGTTCTAGAACTTCTTTAGAATGGGTCCAACCATATACGAATGGCTTTTTATATGTTAGTATCGCATCATAAGCCATTAAAAGGCATGCAAGTGTAAGCTTTCCAATCTTACAATTAGAAAGCAGAAAAGGTAAGGAACATAAGATGTAATTGGATAAATAGAGAAACTGTATTCAAAGCCTCATCAAAGCAGATAGATATACCAGTTTACTTAAGACAACTGCCAGACAAGAGCAATCTCATTAGCTATAGTCTCATGCTACCCAGAGTCTGTCTGCTGATAACTACTTGATCCGGAGAAACAATGAACAGGATTTAAACTCAGAAAAGGAGATCCATTAGCATGAAAACTTTCATCTTTTCCTACAATCATCTCTGTCAAGTGTACATTCACCATGTTCCCGATTAATAGAATGTACACTCACTGTACACACGAAATCAGAAGGACAATAATGGTGGGAACAACCAACTCTAACCTTGACTGGATAAGCTTTTAAAAACTTATCTTTCATATCAGCAAATCTCCAATATGTCATCCAAACTAGGGAATTTCCTGAGTTGTTTGTAGCAAGTTGCACGCAAATAAGATCTTCACTCTTGTCAAAAACAAAAAAAGTTTTACAGTTACAGTAGATGAATTGACCCCTACTACTGCTTGTTTAAAATAAATAACAAGTGGAAATGCTCCTTTGTCCAAACAGAAGCTTGTAAATGTAGATAACAAACCATCTGAATTTCCTTTAAATGATACAATCAAATCCAAACCATGAAGGCCAAGAAGAAATCAGCACAGGAGCATCTGGCGTAACCGTTTGATCCAGAAACCAGAGATGATATAACCACCCACTTTGATCATCTGGATCTGTAAAAAGAGCTTGGTGTACAAGATCATACTCTTCTGTCAAAACTTTCTCTCTTGGAATAAACCCTGAACCCTCTGCTTCGGCAAATGAGACAGAAAAAAAAATGCAGGAGTCTCTTGGTTGAAAATACATTGTAAAAGATGCTTGGTGCAGTAAAGACACCACAAGTAAAATACTTTTCTTTTCAATTCATTACAAGTAAAATGTTCATCCAAAGCAATGAAGATACATCCTTCATAGGCTATAACCATGTAGCAACAGAAAAGGAAATTGGGATAGGGAGTGGCTGCTTTTCCTTCTTTATTTTGGGGGGATAACTCCCAGAAAGATTTGAACTTTGAATTATAAAGATCTAAAATATCACCAATGAATGCAATGATTTCCTATTTATCATGTTCAAGTGCACTTGACACTTATCATATTTTCTTTGACATTAATTAAACTAAATCTTGTGAACGGCAGATTTAGGTTAACAAAATATGTGATGCTGTACTTAAAATAGTTAATAATAATTCCTTTTTTATAAAGAAGGGTTTATTGCTTTTGTTTCCTCTGCCACAAAAAATTTATTAAGACAGGAAAAATGCTCTGCGATGCACATGATTAGAGAGCTGATAAAAAAATGCACATGTCTAGAGCATCCAAGTCTACCTTCTCTCATATTGTTACATATAGGAAAAACCCTTATCATAAGCATGGGTCTAGCCATAATGTGCAATTTTGCATGGAGGTGTCTTTTGGAAGAAGAGGCAAAGTTTTTTCATGGGAATGTGTTTGCATTTTGTAGTTGTTCCTTGGCAATGTGGGAGGAAAAAGGTAATAGAATATTGAACAATAAATTCAATTGCATCGTTGTAAGAGAGAGGGGGACTTGGATCTCTTCTAAAGTGACTTCTAATAAATTACTAATTTGAGTGGGGCCAAAATTTGTCTTACTCATATACTCATCAAACTGCTGAGTCTCTTGGAGAAGCTTTAAAATTCAACTTTGACCGCTGATCCTTTATTTCTTTGATACGTAAAGAAAAAATTTTACTAACAAAGGCTGAAGCCATATAAAAACGTTTACAAGTATAAACTTTGAGAGAAATTACAAACTGTACATTATAAATACATCAATAGAAATTTAAATCCATTGAAATCCACTAAGATTGAAGACAAGAGTTAGGAATACTAAAAGATTTTCCCTTCTCTCCTGAGTGTAGCCTTGTCTTGGACCCTAAATTTGAATTCTAATAAAATATTTCAATACGTTATCAAAACAGAAATCTAGAGAAAGAATGGTCGGACTGTTCTATCTGTGTCTCTTTTGTTTGGTGATTTCCTAGCACCTATTTTTGTACTCTTAAACAAAAACCTAGAGAAAGAATGGTGTTAAAAAATGAACTAGATTTTAATACCCAATCCGCCCCCCC